CACGCCGATGATCATTCTTCAACGAAGGAAGACCGAGCTCGTCTCGAGCGCTACCTACTCTTTGACTTAAAATACTCTTAACTCAGAGAGTGGGGAACAAACTGTTAGGGCCAAAAATCGTCCTTGGCCCAAATAAGAAAACAGGACCACTAGTGAAGAAAAGACCGGGCCCAGTTCTAAAGAGGCCCAGGCCAGATCAGTCCAATTTGATACGAGATACGGCCGACCCAAACCCTCTGGGCACGGGCCTCCCGGTTCAAGTTCACTTCATGGGCCTGCAGGCAAGTTCCGAGTCCACAGCGCACTGATCATATTCCTGTTCCTGATCAATCTCCTACTCGAAGTTACTTTCCTGATCAGAATCACTTTCCTATCCGGACACTGGTAAGACAGCTTACCACGGCCCTAATTCTTCTAGGGTTGGCATCAGATTCACATTAGGACTCCTATTCCCACCAGGATTGGGAGATCAGACAGTCACTATATAAGCAGAGGCCAACCCTCTCACAAGGGACACTACATTACACCTTCACACCCGAAGCTCCTACTTGAGAGCTTTACATCACCGCCGTAGTCATAGTCCCCGACTAGACTTCCGGTAACCTTTTACTCCCTAGCCCTCACTATATTAGCCTTTCAGCCTTGCTGACTTGAGCGTCGGAGTGCCTGCAGCAAACACCACCCTGGTGTTTCTCGTTCGCTTCACGCGTATGTTTCTCTACATGTGCAGGTACAGCAGATAGCTAGTGGCCTCAACCTCACGGGATCAGACCCCCCTTCCATACAGGTAGATTTTTACGTCTACAGTAATTTAGTCACAGTGGAGAAGCAAGAAACATAATGTTATGGCACGCTCAAGAGCTGAAGCAGAATTTAGGGGAATGGCACTTGGGATTTGTGAAGCTTTGTGGCTAAGATTTCTACTACAAGATTTGGGTTATCAACCTAATCGACCAATCCAGTTATATTGTGACAATAAAGTTGCATGTGACATTGCTCACAATCCAGTTCAACATGATCGTACGAAGCACATTGAAGTAGATAGATTTTTCATCAAAGAAAAACCGGATGGAAAGATTATTGAACTACCCAAGATTCGATCAGAGGATCAATTGGCCGATATTCTTACCAAGGCTGTCTCCAAACGTATTTTCTCACAAGTGTTAGACAAGTTGGGCATGTGTGACATCTACGCACCAACTTGAGGGGGAGTGTGTAATGCCCCACTTGAGGTACGTAGTTAATGTTTCTTCTTTTGCTCTTATTTGAGTTGGTTTATTAGTAGTATTGTTTGGTTAACCTTTGTTTGGGTTGTATGTTGCCTTTTTGCCCCGAAATTTGTTGAAATAGAAGAAGTTCAGTGTTTCAGGCTTCGCCGGGCGAAAAGGTGTCGAAGCCTCGGGAAAGTTGCTGGACAGTTTCGTCGCGGCGACAGAAGTTTCTTCGCTGCAGCGACAGACCGACCAAAATGTTTGTTAAGTATTAGATATTTTCTTCCCTCAGGGCAATTTGATCATTCTATCCCTAATTAGTAGGAAAAGTGGGGAGTAAATTGAAAGGATTTTTCATGGAGAATATGTTAGTGTGGGGGTGTGTTTGTAATGAATCAAAGGATATAGATGGAGTTCCTAAGGAAGAGTAAGGGCAAAATGGGAAGGCTTGTGTATAAAGTTCATTAAAAAGGATTAAGTCATTGCAAACCCTTTATTTTTCTTCTCCATCGCCACTCTCCTCTCTTGCTTCCTCTCAAATTCTCTTTCTTTTGTTCAAGGAGTTTTAAGGGCTTTTGGAGTGATTTGGGGTAGAAAATCAACCTAAGGCATCCTAAGGTAAGGATTCTTGCTTTGGTTATGAAGTTTTGTGAATTTTTTGGTATATTGAATACTGAGGGTTTTTGTTCATTTGTTTAAGAGTAGAAAGAAAGTCAAGCAAACCAAGTGAAAGGAAGAGCTAGTGAAGTCTCTCCATAACAAGGTAAGTAAATCCCAACCCAAGTTGAGATTTGAGAATTTTCTTGATTAGGGTTTTTGATAGTAATTATGTATGTATGTTATATACATGTTATTTGCCATGTTATTGAGTCTTAAATGGAGATTGTTAGTGCTTTGTGGTGGTTCATACACTTCAATTGTGAGAAGTGAGATGTGGGTTGGAAATGTAGTTTGAGATGGAATTTAAGGATATTGAGAAATCCTTTTTGGAAGTGTCTTTCTTTGGCAGGAATTATGGCTATGTGAGGGAGTTTCTCCCCATTTTGGATGGTTAGAGAAAGATCTAGACTTATTGTTATAGTAGGGTTTTGTTATGCACTTGAGTTGTTTGATGAAATGCCTAATAGAGGTTTGAGTATGGGTAGTGAACCTTAATTCTTGCAACATTGCATGTTGGCATTTCATAAGTGCATTAGTGAAAATGAACCATCCATAGACATTAATTGTGTATTGAGAAATGGTTTAAGAAGGAGTAGAAAACTTTGTGTATGCAACTACTTTAAGGGTAGAGAGAATGAGAAGTGCTAGAATAGAGTGAATGAGAAGAGTGGTAGAAATGGGTTGATGCTTTGTGATCGTCACCCGACAGTTATGAGAATCGGGTTGATGCTTTGTGATCACCACCCAAATAGCCATTAGAAATGGGTTGATGCTTTGTGATCATCACCCAACAGGTATTAGAAACGGGTGGATGCTTTGTGACCATCACCCGGTTAGTTATTAGAAAGGGGTTGATGCTTTGTGATCATCACCCGACATTTATTAGAAGTGGGTTGATGCTTTGTGATCATCCCCCGACAGTGATTAGGAAAGGGGTTGATGCATTGTGATCATCACCCGACATTTATTAGAAGTGGGTTGATGCTTTGTGATCATCACCCGACAGTGATTAGGAACGGGTTAATGCTTTGTGATCATCACTTGAAAGTCATGAGGAGCGGGTAGGTGCTTTGTGGTCTCCACCCGATAGTTACGAAAACCGGGTAGGAGCTTTGTGACCCCCACCCTGTAGCTACTAAGAGCCGGTTGGTGCTGTGTGAACTCCACCCGACGGTCATGAAGAGTGCGATGGTGCTGTGTGAATGCCATCCGGCCGTACCTCCGGTAAGATGAGGCCATGACGTTTAGTAGAAAACGATAGAAAGTGTGAGGAAAGAATTAAGAGAATTACATACGGGGATAGACAGATAGAGGGTTTACTTACTGAGCATTATTTTGTGCTCACCCCGTTATTTTCCTTTGTGGATGCAGGATCTAGGTGATGATGCAGTCGGAGGGGCGTCGGCAAGCGAGGAGCAATAGCTACACTGTTTCCCCTGTTTTTGTCTTTTAAAATTGTTTTTTTGTAAATGATGCTCTTTATGTATAAAAGACGTATTACTTATAATAAAAAGAAAAGTTTTGGGCCCATTTCCTATTGTTATTATGCATGCATTGTACTAGTTTAAAGCAGTTGTTACAGAGTGTTAAGATTTTCATAATATTATGTAAATATTTTGTAATCAGGTAAATATTATGCAATCTTTTAGTTATGTCAGGTATACGATCTTAGAATATTCTAAAGATTATGTAATCTCCTAATTATGTCAGACAAAATATTGTGTAATCCGCAATTGACATAATTAGGGGATTTAGGAGATCGTATACTTCCTATGTAAAGGATGTAACTCCTCAGTGATAAATCAATGAATTGAAAACATACAATTCTTCAATTGAACACCTTGGCTGAACGATCATGTTAATTTCGAGAAAGTTTTCTTTGGCAGAGATAGCGCTGGCAGGAATATCTCGCATACTTTGGTGTATAGGGTGGGGGCAATTGGGTTACCAAGCGTGAAAGTTGATGGGGTAATACTAGTTCATCCATTTTTTCGGCGGGACAGAAGACGATGAGATGTGGCTGTTCATGAATCCGATTCACGATGGGTTGAAGGATCCTAAACTGAAACGACCTCCGGAGGATCTGGCTAAGCTTGGGAGTGAAAGAGTGTTGATATTTGTTGTTGAGAAAAATGATCTGAATATTGCGGGGAAAAACTACTATGAAGAATTGAAGAAAAGTGGATGGAGAGGCAGAGTTAAGCTCGTTGAAAACCATGGCAGAGATCCCTGCTTCCATTTGCGTCACCCCACATATGAAAAGGCTCTGCAGTTGACCAATAAATTTGCTTTATTTATCAAAAATGATTCATAGATTAATTATCACTTATTATTCTTATTTTAGTTACAATTTTACAAAAAAGACTTATGTTTGTAGCGTTTAAGCCGATGATTTTTACCTTTTTTGGGGGTCAATTCTGAAGTCCAAAATCACTTTTGAGACTATCGTAGGACTCTCCATGACCTCCTTTACCAAACTCATACGTTCACTTACCGACCTCATTCACGATTTTTGACCACTTCCAATAATCGTTAACAGTGTTAGTTTAAGGGTGATAATATAGAATAAATACTGTCAATTATCTACGAACTCATTTGGAAGAAGAGAAAGAAAACCTAATTTTTATTATTCAAGTCTGAAAGAGTAAAGTAACAAATAGTATCACACTTATTACATTTCAATAACTATGGTTAATTAACCATAGTTGAAAGTAACCAAAGTAACTAATTCAACCAACTAATCTTAACTATACCCAGCTATTAACTACTACTGACTTACTAACAAAAATATGCATTATACATCAAGAACCATTATATATCAAGAAGAGAAAATAACAATAAACCAAGACCTCAAGTTGGTGGGTGATGAATGTCAAACATGCCCAACTTGGATAGTAATTGGCGATGGAGAGGACTAGCAACAACCTTAGTGAACAAATTAGCAGGCTGTTCTTGAGTAGGAATGTGAATTGGATGTACTAGGCCTTCCCTTATTAGTACGAACTATATGACAATCAATGTCCATGTGTTTCGTATGCTCATGAAACATTGGATTAGAAGCAATATGGATGGTTGATTAACTGTCACACCCGAGAGTAATGGGCTGGGGAACCGGAATGCCAAGATCAGTCAAAAATTGAGTAAGCCATCAAGCTCACAAACCGTAGATGCCATGGCACGATATTCTGCTTCAGATGATGACTTGGAAACTGTAACTTGACGCTTAGATTTCCATGACAGTAAAGAAACTCCCAAGAAGATGCAGAAACCAGTAATGGACTTACGCGTCATAAGGCAAGAAGCCCAATTAGAATCACAAAAAGCTTGAAGATAGATAGAACCATTTGCTGGAAAAACGAAGCCTAAACCAGGAGACCCTTTGATATATTTGACCACTTTGAGAGCTGCATGAGATGGGACTGTTTTGGCTGATGCATAAACTGACTAAGTAGATTTACAGAATAACTCAAATCTGGTCTGGTATGACACAAATACAACAACTTCCCAATCAATTTCTGATAAACAGAGGGATCCTTTAAGGTAGGATCTGGTGCACTAGGAAATGAAGCATCAAACTCCACTGTTGTAAACTTCTGCTGAGGATCAAGGGGTATCATGGCTGGTTTAATAGCAGCCAAACCTGAGGTGGCAATCAACTCTAACGCATATTTCTGTTGGCACAAACTAATGCCCTTGGATGATCTAGCAACTTCAAAACCTAAAAAATATCTAAGAGAACCAAGATCTTTTAACTTGAAGTTAGAGTGCAATAAATCTTTAGAAGCCTGAATAAAAAAGTGATCATTACTTGTGATAACCAAATTACCACCATATACAAGCAAAATCACAATATTAGAATTGTTTTTCTTAAATAAGAAATAATGATCCAAGGGTGATTACTGGAAGCCACCCGATAACAATGCAGCAATAAGCTTTGTATTCCATGCCCTTGAGGCTTGTTTCAAGCCATATAATGACTTATGGAGCTTACATACTAGGGACTTATCATGTTGTTTAGAGAAACCCTATGGTATATTCATATAAAGTTCTTCTTGAAGATCCCCTTGCAAGAAGACATTATCAACATCTAAATGGTAAAGAGGCCAATCTTTCATAGATGCTATGGCTAAGACTAATCTAACTGTTACCATCTTAAACACAGGAGAAAAAGTCTCCTCGTAATCAATTCCAGCTTGTTGAGTAAATCCTTTGGCAACTAATATTGCCTTATACCGTTCTAGAGTGCCATTTGCCTTGTACTTGAGTTTATAAATCCATTTACACCCTATTGGAGATTTACCAGGTGCTAAGGGAACTAAAGACCATGTGCCATTTCTTTCCAAAGCCTGAATTTCCTGTTGCATAGCCATAACCCAGTGGGGATCTTTGGATGCTTGGGTAAATGTAATAGGTTCAGTAATGGCTGATATACTAGACATACATGTTTGATAGGATGGTGAAAGATGTGTGTAGGAAATGTAATTCTGAATAGGACATTGGACAGTAGTTGTTAGATTAGTTTTAGGTAATGTAGGACATACAAAATGAGTGGTCCAAATAGGTGGTTTAGTGACTCTACCAGATTTTCTAATAGGACCAAGTTGTTGTGAAGAGGTACTAGGCAGATTAGGTGAACTATATAAAGCTAGAGAAATAGGGTCTGCTGGTTCTGTTTCATGAAGATCATTTGTATTTTCATGCAAATCAAAAACAGTGGAAGATGCAGTTTCAAAATCCTGTTCTAGAAATGTTTCTCGGATAAAAGCTGGTTGACTAGATTTATGTAAAGTAAAAAGAAAAATATATTCATGGAAAACCACATCACGATAAATATGAACAGATTTGGAATGTAAATCATACAAAATGTAACCCTTTTTTGTAGTAGAGTAATCAAGAAACACACAAGGAGTAGATCTAGGAGTGAACTTGTCATGGGGAATCAAATTGGTAGCATATACGAGGCATCCAAAAACTTTCAAGTGGTTCAACTTAGGCTTATGACCAAAGAGCTTCCCATAAGGTGAGAGACCATCTAAGACTTTAGTGGGTAATCGATTTATGATGTAGACTGTAGTTTTGACTGCATAACCCCACAAATAGTCCGGAATATGTGATTGAAACTTTAGGGATCTAGCTATGTTAAGTATATGCATGTGCTTACGTTCTTCAACTCCATTCCGTTGTGGAGTGTACACACATGTGCTCTGATGTATGATACCCAAACCAACCAATAAATCATGACATTGATCATTGAAAAATTCCAAACCATTGTCAGTTCTAATGCATTTGGGGGTCTGATTATGCTGATTTTTTACCATGTGAAGGAAATCTTTTAAGTTTTGATACACATCAGATTTGTATTGCATAAGGAAAAGCCATGTAGTCCTAGAGAAGTCATCTACTATGGTGAGAAAAACCTAGCATTTCCTTGGGTTGGGATCTTATAAGGTCCCCAAACATCTAAGTGTAACAACTCAAAGATATGTGATGTATGTGTTTCACTTAAGGCAAATGGTAACCTAGTTTGCTTTGCTAAAGGGCAAATGTTGCAGTGAAAATTAGAGTGTGCATGGAATTCATGATGTAATTTTTATAGGACTGGTAATGGTGCATGTCCTATCTCCTATGCCAAAGTATAATATCATTACTATATAGTGTTGTGGACATTACTACAGGTCATTTTATTGATGAATCAGAGGTTACATCACAAGAATTACAAACAGAATTCTTTATTCCTAAAACTGGAAGACAATGTTTTATTTGTGAAAAAGGTATAAAATGGTGTAGCCCTTGATATTGCTTACCAATCCCCTTGAGTTTGCCACTCCAAAGATCCTGGATAACACAAAAATCTAGATAAAATGTGATGGAACAGTGACTTGATGCAGTTTATTTGGATATCAACATCAAATTATACATAAAATCTGGTAAATATAAAACATTTTCAAGAGACAAATTTTCTTGCAATTTTACAGAACCAACATGAGTGATTGGTGTTTTAGTTACGTTAGGAAGTCCTACATAACTTGTTACAAGTGGACTACTAGCTACAGAACATTCAAGGTTTTGTAAATCATGTGTCCCCAAAATCAAGAATCCAATCAGAATTATTAAATTTTGAGTATCGAGACACAATTGTACCTGCCAGATTAGCAAACAGTGAAACCATGTTCTCTTTCCCCAACAACTAAAGTAGTTGTGCATACTGCTCTGGAGTTAACACATTGCCGAGATTAGCTCCTCCTTTGGTATTGTCACCTACTATTTCAGAGTTCACCAACTGATCCTGAGTCGAATGGACTTGATTAGCCTTAGGTTTTGTCCTTGACTAACCCTTGGTGAACACAAAATTAGTTGGATAACCGTGTAGTTTATAACAGGTTTCCCTCTTATGCCTTAGAGCATGACAGTAGTCACACTCCATGTAGGGTTTCTTCCCCTTGTATTTTGAGCTTTGATTCTAATTCCTCTTATTGCCTTGTGAATATAGCGTTGTAGTAACCTCAATGTTGTAATTAGAACCAGTCAAGACCTCTGGCTTTCATCCTGACGTACTATGGAATATGCTTGCTTGATTGAAGGCAGAGGGACCATCAATAAGATCTGACTCCTTACCAAGGTATACAATTCATTAAGTCCCATTAGAAACTGCAAAAGCTTCTGTTGATTGAGATGAGCCAAATATGCCTTGGCTGAATCACTGTCTGGAGGTGGTAGACTCACTAACGAACTCAGTTCATCCCACAAAGTTTTCAATCTGTTATAATAAACCACAATCGAACTCGTACCTTATACTAGATTAGCAATTTCCCTGTGAATCCCAAACACTCTTGTACCATTCACTTTATTGTATTGTTCTTGGAAATCTTGCCAAACTTGATACGCACTGTTTGAATACACAATACTGTTGAAAATGTCTTTTGAAACAGTATTAAAAATCCATGCCAAAACCAGAGAATTGCAGCATTCCCATTATGCATGCAATCCTTCATTGAATTTCGATTTCTCGCAAGATCCATCAACAAATCCCAACTTATTTTTTGCCCTTAGCGAAACCGTCGTGGACCAGCTCCATATCCCATAGTTCTCAATTTCGGTAAGCTGCTCTGAAATCAGAACTAAACCAGGGGTATCCGACGAGTGAAAGTAAAGAAGGGAACCTGAATCTGTGATATTTGACATCTACTGTTAATGAAATTAAATTGATCTAGAACGAATCAGCTTGATTCTAATCATAAATGGTGAAGCAGGAAAAATCAATCTTGAAAAATTTTAGACGCAGCTTCGAATTTGAGCTTGAATTCGAACTTGATACAGCTTCGAACTTGAGCTTGATTCTTCAGTTGAAGTTGTTGATTTCATAGCAAAGAATCACTGCTCTGATACCATCTACGAACTTATTTGAGAGAAGATCTACGAACTCATTTGGGAGAAGAGAAAGAGAACCTGGATTTTTATTATTCAAGTTGAAAAGTAAAGTAACAAACAATACACACTTATTACATTTCAGTAACTATGATTAATTAACCATGGTTGAAATAACCAAAGTAACTAATTCAACCAACTAATCTTAATTATACCTAGCTATTAACTATCACTGACTTACTAACAAAAATACGCACTAACATCAGAAGAGAAATAATAATAAACCTATAAATGATATTAACTGGAGATTTTCCTAAACCTCGGTGGAATATGTCTTATTCTTTTTTAATTAAATTAAAATAAATAAAAAAATAAAAAAGATGAAACTAACTAACTAAGACTACGGATGGTAACGTTGAATGTTTGGTGACGACACTTTGTTTCATTCCCTAATCCCCACCATAAATATAAAACGTTTTCTATTTCTTCATTAAACGACAGACATCCTTTCCATCTTACCATCGACTGAACTGAAGCTCTCCATCAACCTCTCCCTTCTGCTTCTCAATGGCATCAACGACTCCGAAATGTCAGGAGTTTCGATTCTTCCGAGTGTACAAAGACGGTCGAGTTCAATTACCTTTCCGCCCTTCCTCAAGGCCACGGTTCCACCGTCCGATGATCCCGTCACCGTGTCCGATCCAAAGACGTTACGATCTCATCTGAACCTCCTGTGTCCGCCCGTATTCATTCCCAAAGTCACAGACCCTAACAGAAGTTCCCTCTTTTATTCTACGTGCACGGCGGTGGCTTCTGTATGATGTCCGCCTTTGCTCCAGGCTACCATAGCTTCTGTAGCACCCTTTCAGCCGAGGCTGGGGCCATAGTTGTTTCTGTGGAGTAGGACTCTTCCCAGATCGACCCATACCGGCTTGTTACGAAGACTCATGGGCTGCACTCCAGTGGGTGGCGTCCCACGTTAGTGGAAGTGGACCTGAACCTTGGCTAAATGATCATGCAGATTTTGGCAAAGTTTTTATCGGTGGAGATAGTGCCGGAGGAAATATCTCGCATACTTTGGCGTTCCGGGTCGGTTCAATCGGGTTACCTGGAGTGAAAGTGGTTGGGGTGATCTTAATTCATCCTTTTTCGGTGGGACGGAAGACGATCAGATGTGTTGTGTATGAATCCAAGTAACAGCGGGTTGCAGGATCCTCGTTGAACCGCCTGAGAGGATCTTGGGAAGCTCGAGTGTGAGAGGTGTTGATTCTTGTGGTGAGAAGATCATCTGAATTCCGGGGGAAAATTACCTTGAGATCTGAAGAAAAGTGGATGGGGTGGAAGAGCTGAGCTTGTGGAGAATCATGGTGAAGAGCACGTTTTCCATATGCGTAATCCACTGTGAAAAGGCATGAATTGACCAGTAAGATTGTCTCATTTATCAAAGAAGACTAGTAAGCAGTTAATCATTTAGCAGAGTTTGTGGTTATTCTGTAATAATGGAGTGTGTCTTTGACGTTGATGAATAAATTTAAAATGTTACTTTTATGATATTGTATTTACCGATCCTTGGGGTCATCTTGTACGCACTATTCAGTTGACAGTAAGGAAATTTTATTGTGTTCAACCTTATTAGTAGTTAAGTAGATCGAATTCAAAACCTCTTAAAGTATATATTCAAGAGTTTAATTGGCTGTTGACTATCTAATAGTGGTTAAAATATTATTTTAATGTAATGTTAAAAAATGACAATCTAAATTGTCTGTGCCTGAAATTAATTTATAATGCATGTTCTAAACCTGGATCAAGGGTCGCCGGCCAGGAGTCAAGTCCCGATTTGACCTATTCAATCGGGGTTCTAACCAGTGATTAAATAAGTTTGAAATCTAACAAACACATCCTTGATAATACTTTATCCTATAAATTTAAAATCTAGCAAACACACATTTGTGATTTGGCCATGCAAATTAACGTCCACAGGTTGGGCCGCAATGACACACCATGGATGGCAGGGTTAGGACGTTGGGCTCGGGCATGTGATTGAAGTAGCCGATGATCAGGTTAAAGATTTTAAAACAATCCATAAGATAACTAGGCTAGAGAGGGCCCTGGGTAGTAGTCCAACTGGTTGAACCGTCGAGTCGGCCGGGTTTCAGAACACTAATTTAATCATTTTGGGGATAAAAAACTTAAGACTTGTGGATGTAGGTGTTTGAAGGTTTGGTGATGAGTGATAACATTTCTTCATCCAAAACATTTCTTCCTCTGCATTAAACGACAAGACTTCCCCATCTTATCAGTGAATTGCACTGAAGCATTTCGTTAAGGTAAATTCTCTATCTTCAATGGCATCAACCGACTCCGAATCGTCAAGGAGTTTCGCTTCTTCCGAGTTTATAAGGATGGCCGAATCGAGTCATTCTTCCCACCTTGCCCCATGGTTCCACCGTCCGATGATCCCGTCACCGTGTCCGATCCAAAACGTGACGACTCATCAGAACCTTCTGTTTCTGCCCGTTTTTTCATCCCTAAGTCTCAGACCCGAACCAAAAGTTCCCTCTCTTATTCTTAGTACATGGCGGTGGCTTCTGCGGATGTCCGCTTTTGCTCCACGCTACCATCTCTTCTGTAACACCGTTTCAGCCCAAGCTGGGGCCATAATTGTTTCTGTGGAGTACGGAGTCTTCCCGATCGACCCTACCGGCTTGTACGAAGACTCATGGGCTGCACTCCAGTGGGTGGCGTCCCGTCAGTGGAAATGGACCCGACCTTGGCTGAATGATCATGCTGTTTCAACAAAGTTTTTCATGTGGAGTCATGCTGGAGGTAATATTTCGCATACTCTGGCGTTCCGTCGGGTCAATCGGTTACCGGTGTGAAAGTTGTGGGGATGTTTTGGTTCACCCATATTTTGGTGGGACGGAAGATGATGAGATGTGGCTGTTATGTGTCCGAATAACGGTGGTTGCAGGATCCCAGCTGACACGCCGGCAGAGGATCTGGCTAAGCTCGGGTGCGAGAGGGTGTTGATATTTGTGGCGGAGAAATCATCTGAATGTTGTGGGGAAAAATTACCATGAGATTTGAAGAAAGTGATGGTGGAGAGTTGAGCTATTTGAAGTCATTGAAAGCACGTCTTCCATATGAATAATCCAAAATCTGAGAAGGCTGTGGGTGATCAATAGTTGTTTCATTTCTGAAACAAGATTAAAGTATATTAGTCCGATAGTTTACATAAGGGTTGCCGTTTGCAAGAGCTAAATTGTGTCTGTGACATTGTGGAATAGGATGTATGTATGGATTTGGAATAAAACGGTATCGTACTTTTCATTTTGATGAAGATTCATTGATGATAATGGTTTCCTTGATTGGGAGAATATAAATCTTCGTTTCAATTGCCTTTTTTCTGTATTTTCTCAATACATTCAAAGTGTTTAAATTATCATTTTACATTGAATTGAACCTCAATTGAGAAGGCTAGAGGTAATGCCGAAAGTTAAAATGTTTTCTCAATCCCAATCAGATGTGAGAATTAGATTTCAGGTAAGGTTTTCAAGACAAAATTCTGATAAAAACCTATTAAATATATGATAAGATGTTGTATCTACTGAATTTTCAATCTTTTACTCGAACAAGTTTGTGACATGGCCCGACTTGGTACATTTCGCATTACCTTTCGTCGAATGTTTCGATAGGGTTTCGATAGGGTTTTTAGTGTTACTCAAGATTTCTTAGTTTAAGTTTTTGTATCGGTTCTTAATAGGGTTGTCATTTAAGCTTTTACCCAATCAATAGTTTCTAATTCTTTAATTTGAGTCTTTTATCAGTTCTTAATTGGTTATCACTTAAGCTCTTACTCAATTGATAGTTCTAAGATTCTGAAGAGCTGTCAAGGTGTCTAAACCCGGACACTGGACAACCGGGTCATTAGAAAAAAAAAAAAAAAAAAACACAATATAATAGTAACAGAAGTAAAACTCATCTGCATCTAAAACACTGGCTGGCACACTCTCATTCTCCTCTCCTCCTTTCTCATTCTCAATCTTTCAATCTGGGCACATGGCTTCTCTTTTTCTTAACCATTTTTCATCAGCATTATGCAGAAGATACAGCTTCAAAGCCGCCGTTTATGTTAACTGGTCAACACCCATCACTTCTCTATCAAAAATGGCGTCTTCTGGATCTTCATTCAGTACTAGCTCTAGAACTCACATTCATAATAGTTCAGTCACATCTGGTCATCACCCAAATCCAATTGATCCGAACGAAGTAGCTCATGAGTTTCGCTTCTTCAGAGTTTACAAAGATGGCCGGATTGAGAAGTTCCGGTCCACCGAAAAGATCCCTCCGTCGGATGACCCGGTAACCGGGGTTCGTATTAAAGATGTTGAAATATCATCACAACCCGCTGTTTCAGCTCGTATTTTCTTGCCCAAGATCCGTGATTCGAGCCGGAAACTCCCGGTTCTTTACCATGTCCACGGAGGTGGGTTCTGCTTCGAATCAGCTTTCTCTCCAATTCATTCAAAGTACCTCACTTTGTTGACGGCTGAAGCAGACGTAATCACTGTGTCGGTCGAATACGGGTTGTTCCCGGATCGACCCATACCCGCATGTTACGAGGACTCATGGGCCGGACTCCAGTGGGTGGCGGGCCATGTAAATGGGAATGGACCCGAGTCATGGTTGAATGAGCATGCTGATTTTGGACGGGTTTTTATAGGTGGAGAGAGTGCTGGAGGGAACATCTCGCACAATCTAGCTGTTCGGATCGGGACACTCGGGTTACCCGGAGTGAACGTGGCGGGCATGGTTTTGGTGCATCCGTATTTTGGAGGGATAGACGATGATCAAATGTGGCTTTACATGTGTCCATCTAACGGTGGGTTGCAGGATCCTAGGCTGAAACCGAGTGCAGAAGATCTGGCAAGGCTTGGGAGTAAAAGGGTGTTGATATTTGTGGCTGAAAAAGATCATTTAAATGTAGTAGAAAGAAATTATTACCAGGAACTGAAAGAAAGTGGATGGAAAGGAAGTGCAGAGATCTTGGAAAATGAAGGAGAAGACCATTGTTTTCATATGGAGAATCTCAGTAATGAGAAGGCTGTAACTCTTATCCAAAGATATGTTTCTTTCATGAAAGAAGAATAAGTTTTTGTTTGTAAACAAAAGTAATTGTTGAGATTTTTTTTTTTTTTTTTGGTTGAAGGGGTTGTCGGTTAATTTGCACACATCTTAACTAATCTTTTGGGTCTGAAAGTTGATAGTCGAGTAAATTCTCTTAATTGCTATCTCAGTTAGTAACCCAAATGGATCGAACTCAAAATCTCTTGAATAATACACCCAAAAATCTTAGTTGACTGTTGGACCTATCGGTGGTTATAATTGTTGAGACGCTGTTGTAACCTGGGGTTGTTTTCATGAAAAGAACAATTTGGGTGAATACTCTTTACAAACACTTTGTTTCTTAATACTTATTCCTTTATTCTGATAAACATCATATAGTTGCTCCTAATCTTTTGATCCAAAAACCAGTGTCCAATCAAAAGGCCTGGTGTTATCACCAGAAACTGATTCGAACCCAGCGAGCTCCTCTGGAGATCTGCAGGGCGATAATTTTGTGTTTGGCGAAAAGGATTTGTTGAAAGGACAGGGGATGGCTGTATTATGAGAACTTGGGAAGGAATGTGGATGGAGAGGTGTTGTGGAGATTATGGGAGTTTAAAGGAGTGGGCCTGGGCTTTTATTTGATAAATCCCATTTGTGAAAATGGTGTCACTATGCTCAAACAAATTTTGTCTTTTATCAAAGAGTAAACCACTTTTCCCACTCAAGATTTGTCTTAATGGCACTTTCTCATCCAAAGTTCATATTCTGTAAATATTCAAAATCCACTTCACTTTCTTAATTAACATTTGGCAAGTTATCAAGAGCCAGGGTGAGAGGGGTTTTGTAAAGTGGAGGCCGGTGGATTGAATAGTGATGACCGATTAAATATTCGTTGTTGGAATCAACTGGAAATCGTCTAAAAACAGAAAACTCTAGCTTTACAATAGCTAGCAATATGCAAGAAATTAGATGCTAGAGTGAGAAGTATTTTGTAGAAAGAAGACCGAATGTTCAAATTGTGGTGATGGAGAGAACTTTTAGCGCTGAAATCGGTTTTGGGTCATAACAAAATATAAACTTTGATTAAGAAAATAGTATTTGAAACTTTTGCATTGGGAAAGTGTCACTAAGGCAAACCTTGGGTGGGAAAAAGTCGTTTACTCTTTATCAAATTACAAACTGTTTCTTAGATTGGACTAGATCATCTTCTGATTAAAGTTTTAACCTGAAGAGATAAAGACTTGTAATGGGTAGAGGTGGCGGTGGGCCGTGTCGTGTCTAAAAATTCAAAGCCCATCGTGTCGTGCCAAGACCCGCACAGTTTCGTGACCTGTTGGCCCATGAAATTTGAAGGCCCACCGCACGGCCCGTTATATATCATGTCGTGCCTTGGGCCGGCCCACATGCTTTGTGAAAATAATTTATTTTAATATTTATAAATTATAGTAATTTTGATTTATTATTAATAATTATTATAAAAATATTTTATATGTTATATTTAGTGACATTTTGTATTTATATTAATTAAAATATATAATCACTATAAAATATAATAAAATAATGAGACATTGAAATATTAATTGAATTTCAACACTTTTTATTATTTATAAGTTATAATTATAAATTACAAATACAAACTTAGAAATTAGAATTAAGAATTAGTATACATATTTATTTTCATTAATTTCTAAATTCTTAAAATCTTCAAATATATCTTCAGCAACACGATTTTGAAGCTCGAAATCTACCGTCACCCAATCTTTCATACACATAATGGCTTCAGCAACACGATTTTAAGTTTAAAATAGTCGTTACCCCCTTGCACATGGGTAACGACTATTTTAAAAAATAGTTATTAATTTTATTTTTTTATAATTTTATTTTTTTCGTGTCATGCCATGCCGACCCACGGTCTTTTTTTAAGGCCCACAGCACGGCTCACATATTTTCATGTCGTGCCGTGCTTTTTTCGTGTTGGGTCGTATCGTGCTATGGGCCGGTACGATCCACCATTGGCTCTAGTAATGGGTTACTAATCGAAGATAAATTTTATTTTCCTTCTCCAATTCTTGTTGAAGACTATTCTCTTGAAGTAAATGTACCCAAAATATATCATTGAACACAATAAATAATGGCTGGATTAGTCAACTGCACTTGGTATGAAAAATACGTCATATTAGTTATTCAATCCCCTTATTCATGTGATCAAAGTAATTTGTGATTTGAAGATTCAACAGTAATACTATTAATTTCCAAAGTAATACATAGTACTTATTGAAATTTATCAAGATTTTTTTTTTTTTTGTAATGATCGGAGTGTTCAGACCAGTTTATGTACAGTTTAACTAATTTTTTTGGGACATTAGAACTATCGTCATACAAGCTTCAATGGTTATCCCTATTAATAACTGTAAAGACTCAAAACTTAGAAGACTATATTAAATCATTTTCTTACCTTTTTTACCCTTAAAAGAGACTTAAACTTTAAAAACGATATTAGATTTTTGTCTTGAGATGTGTCTTTTACTATCTAGTGGTGGTGGTTTATTCAAGAGAATTAATGGCAGATTGTTGTTAGGTGGTGGTTTATTCAAGAGAAATAATGGCAGATTGTTGTTAGGTGGTGGTTTATTCAAGAGAAATAATGGCAGATTGCTGTTAGTACGAGCTGGTATCCAAAATATCATCAATTAAAGTCAATATTGACATAAACTGTTAAGTCAGCGTATTAAATTTTGTAGATTACGGTCAATTTGTGGGGTTTATGAAAATTGAAATTTTGAAACCATATTGCATAAACTCAGTCTTCCATCTGCATAAAAGTAAACAACAAAGGCATAAATTAAGAACAAACTTTAGATATTTTCTGCTCTTTTCTCTTAGCAATGGATCCTGCAGCCATGGAAGAAGAACTAGTCCATGACGTTTCCCCCTTCTTTCGCATATACAAAGAAGGCCGTGTCGAGAGGCTCATGGGCACTGAGTTCATCCCCACTTCTGTTGATCCCAAAACCGGTGTTGAATCCAAAGACGTTGTGGTTTCTCCTGAAATTGGTCTATCTGTAAGGCTGTACGCCCCAAAACTCCATAACCGAAACCAGAAACTTCCTCTTCTGGTGTACTTCCATGGCGGAGCGTTTTGCTTTATGAGCCCGTTCTGTGCTATCTACCATAATTACCTTAACACTTTAGTCCATGAAGCCAACGTCGTTGCAGTCTCAGTCGAATATCGAAGAGCCCCGGAGCACCCTCTGCCAGCAGCATATGACGATTCATGGACAGCTCTCAAATGGTTCGCTTCTCATGTTAATGGAGATGGCCCTGAAGATTGGCTAAATTTTCTAGCTGATCTTGACAATGTTTATTTGGGTGGTGAAAGCGCTGGTGGTAATATATCACACCACATGGGCTTGAGATATGGAAAACAGAAACTTGGAGGTCTGAAACTCGCAGGAATTATTTTGGTTCATCCATATTTTGGTGGCAATGAGCCCATTGGTGCCGAGGCTAATAATTTAGAGAAAATAGAATTTACAGAGATGTTGTGGCGTTTGGCGTGTCCTGAGACAACTGGGCGCGATGATCCGCTGTTTAATCCGCTGGCTGATCCGAACTGGGCGAGCCTGGAGAACACCAGGGTTCTGGTTTGTGTTGCCGAAAAGGATTTCTACAGAGATAGGGGATGGTGCTATTTTGAGAAGTTGAAGGAGAGTGGATGGGAAGGTGTGGTGGAGATCATGGAGTCTAAAGGAGAAGATCATGCGTTCCATTTGATGAATCCCACTTCTGAGAAAGCTTTGGATTTGCTCAAACAAATTGCTTCATTCATCAATACTCGACCCAAAGCATAAAATATCAGCATTGTATTGTATTTTATTGAATAGTATTATTTACTTTCCAAAAAGTCTTGTAACAATTATGTATCGGATTTCTGTTCTAGTTTAGTTGTTTAAATGGAAGGGGCTATCTGAATTGCTTTCTGAACTGTGTATATTGCATAGGGTGTTGTTTATTATTGTTACAAAAATCCACAACAATAAGAGGTATCGAGTCGACCAAGATGGGACTGGTTAGGATGTGTGTATGACTATAAACAATCAGCTTGGAATAGATTAGAAATTCACAACGGGACTATGACAAGAGATTTTTGAAGTGGTTAGACGGGTTAAGACCAAGTCTACGTCCACTGCTATCTTATTATTAATGTCTGGATTACACACAAGAGGATTAAAAGAGAAAAACCGTAATGGCGAGCTAGTGCCCTTCCTAAGTGGTTCCCTATGCTCAAGTGTATTTTTTCTAGGATCCTCAAAATGGAGATGGTGCCTCCCTTTTATAAACGACCTTTGATAGTGGTTGGGAGTTGGTAGATTACGAGGTGGATTACACGCATAATCCCCTGTATTCCAGATTTGAGTTAGCCTTCACCCATACTTAAGTCAGAATAATCATGCTTAGAATTGATGAACTTATTGGTTAAGTCATTTGTTGTTAGAGTGACACGTGAGACGATCCTAGTTGCTCGGTCTTGATACCGTTTATGGACAGGTGGTGCAGATCTAGCCGTTGGAAAATCACGCACACCGTTTATCATTTCAATTTGTTTATTCAAATTAGTTAATTTCTAGGAAAGTGAAACAAAGTTATATATACAAGACTACATAATAATTTATCTTATCTTATTTTCTACTTTTCAACTCTCCAAAGGAGATAGTGAAATTCTGAGTAAAGAAAGCGCCATTAAGTATTAAAGATCTCAAGGCCAGCAACCTCCATTTTTAAGTTAATTCAATAGTTTCAGAAGCATAAGATAATGTATTTTAATAGGAAGTTAGACAAACCTGGCAGATTTTGATCTGATTAATTTCCAAGAACTTGCATATCAATGTTTTTCATTTCTATATAAAAGGTAGACAGGATGTGGTAAGTGGTGAAGGTTTTATGCAAGTCAAGTTGGACTGAGAGGTGTTATCTAACCATTTATATTGTTAAATCATATAAATTGTTTATGGAAAATTATACATTTTTAAATATCTTCAATT